ATGAGAAGACTGACCATTGACATGTATCCCTTGATTTACCTGACCTTGATTTACCTGACCCTAGTTCCCTAGTTCACAGAATTATAAATCTGTAAAAGGAAGGGACTGGCTATGAGCCCAGCTAGTCCAACTTTCTCAATTTCAAATGAGGAAAATGAGACCTAGGGTGGTGACTAGATTTGTCCAAAGTCACACAGGTAATAAGTGTGATAGGTGAGATTTTAACCGAGGTTTTCTGACTCCTTACTGCTGTGTAAGCCTGCATGTCTGTATGTGTATACGAGGTATCAAGGCATAGTCGACAGAGAGCTGGCTTGGATGTTAGAAGCCGGGAATCACTCTACTTTACCATATAGCCACCCATATGACCCACTATACTCCATTGGTGTACCCTCATGACTTGGGGGTCAATGTCAGTAGCTGCATTGTCAGGAGTGACAGTTCCCCCAAAGAGAATAGAGGAAATCTGACAGCTGGCATGGATGGAAAGAATTACAGGCTTCAGATGCCAACTGAGCCTACTGACACTGCCTTCCTGCTATTTGCTGCTGAGGTGGTAGTTTGTGTCACTCAGCTGGATCCTCAGACTGACTCAGTCAGATTGGAAATGTTCATAAGCTTGTCAACTTCCCTCATGACTGGCCAATCGCCTCTCTCTATGGTGGCCTGAAATATTTGTTGACAGATTAATTCTCAAGAATGAAGTTTTGTTTCAACATTGATTTTGGTTTGATTGATTGTAACATTTTTTCACAAAGACATTGCATAGTAGCGGTGGGGTGTGCCTTTAGAGTCAGGAAGACTAGAGTGCAAAATCATAGAAGGAGTTTCCTCACTGGAAATTCCCTACACTGACGAAATCACAGGTCCAGATAGAAACAGCATAGGAAATGTCCAGTAAACCACCAAGCTAGCTTTCTCATTTATATCTTATTAAATTTTGAAATGCTTAGGGAAGTTTTATGATCAAGCAAGCACGGCCAATTAGCTTCCTTGCCCCCGGGAAACCCAATTACTGCCTGTTAAAGCTTTTGTGGGCAAAACATGTAAAAATCTGATGGTAAAGGAATATGTGGAGGGGTCATGGCTTCCTCCTGAAAGCCAGTGTATTGGAAGGAAAGCCATGGGTCCTCAGCTATCCATTATCCACAAAGTGCACAGCCGGAACATACAGATATGTAACCACTCGTCTGATTTGCACAAAAAAACCAACAACTCTGCTCACTTCCTCCCTTAGCAGCCTTGCCCTTCACTGCATAGCTATAAAGTAAAATTTATTTCACAAGCTGAGACCTCTTTCATAAGATCAGATTTTTCAAACTGTGCCCTTACAGTGAGAGCCAAACCAGGGAGAAAAGGACAGAGAATTCCATAGCTGGTAGAGTCCTTTAAGCTCCCATATTTTCTGTAGAGAAGCAAAAGTACATGGAAAGAATTTTAAAATAGGATCAAAAGATCACTGATTTAGAGCTAGAAGAAATCTCAGAGGCCATCTGGTTCAGTCCCCTCATTTTACAGAGAAAGAAACTGAGGCCCAGAAAAGAATCATCAAAGAAACTGAGTTTAAATCCCACCTCTGACACTAACTTTGTGAGCTTGGACCAGTCACTTAATATCCCTGAACTTCAGTTTCCTCCTCTCCAGAATAAACGAGCTCTGAGGTGCCTTCCAGCCCTTTATCTACGATCTATTTTATCTTTTTCTTTATCAATGTTTAGTGACTTGCCTAAAGTCACATGGGTAGGAAGAGGCAAAGGTGAGATTTATTCCAAAACCAGGGCTCTTTTCATTGTACCAAAACCAATTAGCTCAGGTCCAGATTATACCTTTACTGACCACTTTTGTTACAATCTCACTCAAGCTATATGAAGCTTTGTGCGAATGGAGGAGTTATTAATATGTAATTATTAAAATTTATGGAATGTGTCTCATACTTACTAATAATGCATAGCTCTATTCTCAGCTTAACAGCTTGTCTTTAGTTTTCATGGCAAGGATTGGGTTAATACCTCGTTCTTTCTAAAAAATCAAAATAATGCCCCTCTATCCATGCCTTTTCTAACACCAACTGCCCCATTTGAATCTTTCCTCTTTAAATGTAAAAACACCTTTGAAAGGGAGAACAGCACGATTCAATTACTAATACCCTCCTTGAATAAGTTGGAATCTCACCTTATATGCAAGACCTCTGAGTAGTGTGGCCAGCTCCACCTTGACGTTAGACTAAGCCTCTGGCTAGTCCCAACTAATTAAAAAAGAGAGACAGACAGACAGACAAACAGGCTAGTTTAAACAATTGGCACTCATTTTTGTTTACTTACATGTTCAGTTATTTACCCTTTCCCTAAATAATCTAAAGAGTTAGGGGACTAAAATTTTGTTTAAAGTTGAATCCCATTTCTGTCACTTAGTACTAGCTGTGTGGCCTTGGGCAAATTACTTAATCTCCCTGGGTCTCAGATTTCTCACCTGTAGAATGAAGAGGCCAGATTCTTCCAGCTCCATAATCTGTCTTGAGTAGAGTTTTTCAGACCCAAGACCTCTTGGACCTGGGAAACTGCCCTCCTTTCTTCCCTGTGTAAAAATCTGATGGTGAAGGAATACAGGGTCATGGCTTCCTCTGAAAGAAAACCACGGGTCCTGGCCTATGGGTTAAAAGAAAATGGAAGCCATCTGTTTAAAAGATTTATCTCTTTGTACTCTATAGTTCCTGGTACATAGTAGGCACTTCATAAGTGCTGATGGGATGACTAACTGTGGACCTGCTTTAAGGAAATGACCCCAAAACTAGCCTGCTTAGAGCTGGATCAATTTCATCCGAGTGACCAATTTCAGCAGAATTGCAGATGTCTGTGGGGGGACGGCTGATTCATTCTGTTGCCACGAAAAGCCCAAGGAAATATTTTCCTCTTCTTCAAGCTGAGATTCATCATCACATACACACGATTTCTGTGGGGTTCTGTTGTGCTGTTGTTGTCTTGTCAGGACAGAAAATGTCATCATGAAGAGTTCCAAATGGCAGGCACTCAGAGTGCCGCAACAGCTGGTGAGAATTCTAGGGAGGAGAACACAGGCACGTCCCTGTTCAGCGCTGGCTTTCCAAAAAGCTGCAGCCACAATAGATTCCTCTGAATACCCACTCCCCAGCACCTAAGAAATATGATCCAGCTTTATGAAAACTGATTTAAACCCAACTTTTCAGGAGTAGGCCACTTCACAGAGATTGAAAATACCCGCAGTATTTAGGGCTGGGGGAACTTTGGGGATCATCTTCACGGTTTTATAGATGAGGAAGCTAAGACAGAGAAAGTGAGTGACTAGCCTGAGGTTACATAAATAGGAAGTATATCACAACTGGAATTTGAAACCAGATCCAGTGATCATTCCAAAACACCATAGTCCCTGTGACAAATAATAGCAGTACTGGTAATAGCAGCAGCACTAGTAGTAGTAAGAGTAATAGTAGTATAGTGGTAGTAGTAGTAGTAGTAATAATAGGAGTAGTAATGGTAACAGTAATAATAATAAATAATAATGGTAGTAGTAATAGTAGTAGTAACAACAGTAGCAGTAACAGCAGCAGCAGTAGTAGTAGTAGTAGTAGCAGTAGCAGTAGCAGTAATAGTACTAGTAATAGTAGCAGTAGCGTTCTAGATTTAAAGATGAGAAAATCAAGCTCCAGAGAGTAGAAGTCATTTGTACTAAGTCATGCAGCTCATTAAAGCCAAACAGTTTGGCAAGGACTGTGAACTGATATGAGCATTAATGAGACTTTTTTTTCAACCCTCAGTGGATTGCAATGTCTGGGTTAATCGTTTGATTTGTTATGAATCCTTGGAGGTACAAAATTGGGTCATCTGGTAAGGATCAGGCCTTCCAAATCCAGTGCCAATCCCAGAAGGCTAGAGTCCTATCAACACCAACATATTTTCCTTCCTCTCCCCTCTAGGGGGAGAAAAAAGAGGTGGCCAAGAGGGTTATCTCTATATATCAAGAGCAGCACATTAGAACTGGGGAGAGATATGGCAGCATACTCACAAGATCAGAGATCCAGAGCTGGCAGGACCTTCAGAGGCCATCTAGCCCACCAGCTTCTTTACACAGGTGGGGAAACTGAGGCACAGATAGATCACATGATTTGCCCACAATCACAAAGGCAAATAGAGGTAGTAGAGGTTCAAACCTAGATCTCCTGACCCCAAATCCTGGCTATTTCTACCATACTGCACAGATACCCCATTGTAATATCAACATGCATCCATTCTTTCAAGTGACTCAGCTGTGACAGTGAACAGACCTAGTCTAAGGGACTCAGTATTATGTGAAGGTTTTGAAAAGCATGGATTTGTCATTCCAGAACTGGAAGGGCTCTCAGAGGCCATCTTGTCCAAGTTTGCTGACTTGCCCTAAATCCTAGGACCATAAAATCTTATAGTTAGAACTGGAAGGGACCCCAAAAACCATCAAACCCATTTTAGAGATGAGGAAACTGGGGCCTAGTAGTGATTCATTATTGTCATCTTTTCCAAAGAAGAGAGGAAGAATCAAAGATAATAATAATAATAGCTAACACACAGATAGCACTCTGATGTTTGTGAAGCATTACTGCATTACGTGACTTGCCCGAGGCCACACATATCTAGCAAGTATTGGTTTCAGGACCTGAATCCAGGTCTTCCTGTCTCCAAATCCAGAATTCTATCTACTGGGCCACTTTGCCTCAAAGGATCTTAAAGATGATGTGGTTCAACCCTCTCACTTTACAGAGGAAGAAACCTAGGTCCAACTGTGAGAAACCTGAGAGATGATCCAGTCCAGTCACCTAATTTTAGAGAGGAGGAAACTGAGATCCACAGAGCTGAAGGGACAAGCAAAGACACATGGGTAATGGACAGTACAGCTGAGATTCAAATGGTGCCCTCTGGCTCAGCATTCTTGCCCTTTCCTCTTGACCACATGAGTTCCCAAGTCCAATTCAGTGCTTCTGTTGCCTTTCCTAGGGGCCAGCACAAGACTTTGATGTATCTGCTTGGAGGATGTGACCCTAGAGATAAGCTGATATCTGCTGCTCAGGCATTCAGGACCAGGTAGGGGCACACAGGTGCCATCATTTAGTATACAAATTGCTTCATTAGACACCGAATGTCAACAGGCAATTGCGCATTCCCTTGAAAACCAAAATAAAACCTCCATGTATAATGATTCTGGAGCTCTAGCTTCATTGTTCCAGTTATTTTGTTTACTAAATCACCCAATACTTTGCCATTATAATATTTTCACCTAATTTAGCAGCATCCTCAGAAATAATTTGTTTCACGCTCCACGCAATTAGCAGTTGTTCAGTTTGTTTGTCTACGACATGAGAATAAGCAATTCACCCATGACTGCCTTCCTGGACACCTAATTAACATTACTTGGCACCATTCTGAATGCTAGGGAGGAACACGGTATAAGATGAGCTGACTGCTTGGGAAGATCTTTGCAAAACTGGGTTAACTTGTAAGATCTCCTCGGACTACAAAGGCAGCATAGCTCAGTGGGGAGAGCTGTGGACTTGGTAGCTCCCTTCTGCACAGAGGTGCACCACAGTCTACACTGGTAGACTCAGCTGGGAAGCTGTGTAGTTTTGCCTCACTTATTCCTCCCCCCTCTATTTCTATTTCATTGCTGCCCACTGTGTCTCTCTAGGGAGCTAAGGGGGAAGTGCTCTATGTGAAAGTCAACAAAAACAGGCATATGAAGGACTCCATACTAAAATTACTCAGGATAGGAAGACATGGCTTGGAGATCTTTCTTGGCTCTTTATTCACATACAACTCTCCATTTCCCACCTCCATAGGTTTGCCTCAGGTGTTCTAGAACACTCACCTGCACCTCCTGGCATCCTTGGCTTCCTTTAAGATAGCTCAAATTCTTCAAGAGACCTTTCCTGTTAGTAGCTTCCCTCTAGAATTCTTTCCTCATCTACTCGTATATATCTTGTGTGTACAATTTTTAACATGTTGTTTTCCCAATTTGAATGTGAATTCCTTGGAGTGAGGGACTGTTTTCACCTTCCTTTGCATGTCCAGGGCTTGGCAGAGTGCCTGGCACATATAAGTGTTTAATAGATGTTTACCAACTGCCTGACCAGTCATCTGACTTCTCCCTGGTCCTAAGTTTCCTCCTCCTTAATGTGAATATGTGATATGTGAATATCTGAATTACCTCATGGATTGGTTGTGAAGGAAAGACTTTTTGAACTATAATGTACAATATAAATAGGAATTACTATTCTGGGGCAGCTAGGTGGCACAGTGGATAGAGCTCAGGGCCTGGGATCAGGAAGACTCATCATCATGAGTTCAAATCCAACCTCAGACACTTACTATGTGACCCTGTTCAAGTCACTTCACCCTGTTTTCCTCAATTTCCTCATATGTAAAATGAGCTGGAGAAGGAAACGGCAAAACATTCTAGTATCTTTGTTAAGAAAACTCCAAATGGGGTCATGAAGAGTAAGACATGACTGAAAAATAACTGCACAACAAAATTCTGGGGTAGGGAGTTAGTATGGCTCTCTGACAATACAGATTAGGAACCCAAAGGGTTATTCAAACCTTTATGACCTTGACAAGTCTTCATCCACAGACTCCACAGTCCAGCAATACTGTCCTACTTGCCGGTCCTCATCCAGAAGGCTTTCTTCCACCTCCGTGCCTTTGTACTGCTTGGAATGTACTACCTCCTACCTCCATGACTTAAAATCTCCGATTTCCTTCAAGACTTATCTCAAGTTCTCCCTTCTGCAAGAGACTTTTCCGATCTCCCCCTACCACCACCCTGGATGAAAGTGTCTCCACTCCAAGATTACTTGGTAATATGATTTGTTTGTATGAAATCAACACTATATATGCATGTGTTGTTAAAATACAAACTCTCAGGAGCATTCTTAGTGCCTAGCCCAGTGCCTAGGACAAAGCAAGACATTCATTAATGCTGATTGTTTGATTGATAATGGAAGGCAGCAGGTTATAGGTTCAGACCCTGCCTCTTATACATGGATGGGCAAGTCACTTCATCTCTTTCAGCCTCAATTTCCATACCTATAAAATGGGGGTGACTACAAGTTGCCTGCCTCGTAGAGTTATTGTACACCATAGAGCAATAGTCTTAAAACATGACATAAAGGTTAGTTATGATGATTGCTCTAAAGGATACATGACAAGCTCGTCGCATTAGACAGCATCCACCCTAGAAATTGACAAACGTTTCCATAAAACTCCAAATGATGAATCATGGGAAAATCCAGGACCTGCCCATGCCCTACAGGAAGAAGGGCAGGAAGAGGGAAAGTATCGGGCAGACACTTCTCACCTGATGGATGTGTGTCTGTGATACTTAGCTCAGGCGGCCCATCTGCCATCTGGACTGAGACCTAGAGCCGATGACTCCTAAATCAGCCCAGGAGCTATGCTGGGGGGTGGGGGGTCCAAGGATCTTCTTTGGATTTCATGGAAATCATCCCTGAGCAGATCAACTGTGTCAGAAAGCCTGGAACAATAGAATCTTAGGGCTGGAAGGAACCTCAATAGCTGAGTACACCTTCCTTATTTTTCAAATGAGGAAACTGAGAACCAAAAAAGAGGAAAATGACAAGCACAGGTCATTCCACTGATGGGCATGATATGAGGTCCTGTGGATCAGTGGGTATGTGTTGGAACAGGTGTCAGTTGTGTTAGAAAGAGCATTAGCTTTGAAGTCAAAGGACCTGGATTCCAATCTTGCCTCTGATGGTTTCTATTCATGTGACTTTAAGCAAGTAACCTGAGCAGCTAGGTGGTGCAGTGGATAGAACTGAAAAAGATCTGAGTTCAAATCTAGCCTCAGCCACTTACTAGCTAGCTCTGTGACCCTGGGCAAGTCACTTCACCTTGTTTGCCTCAGTTTCCTCCCCTGCAAAATGAGCTGGAGAAGGAAATGGCAGACCACTGCAGTATCTTTACCAAGAAAACCCCAGATGGGGTCATGGGGAGTCAGACACGACTGAAAGAATTGAACAACAAAGCAAGGAACCCAACCTCCTGAGCCTCCCTTTTTCTCAGTTATAAAATGAGGATTTGGGCTAGATGACTTCTGAGATCAGCTTCCAACTCTAAATCTGTAATACTGGGATTACTGCTAATGCCGATTATATAACAACAAGCCAATCACCTTGAGCTCTCTGTGCCTCAGTTTCCTTATCTCTATAACGAAGGTGATGATGATGTATGTACTGCCCAATTCACACAGTTATAATGAGATAGAAATGAGGTTATGAATATAAAGTACTAATATTGTCATTGATGCTGGAACTTTTGGTGGTAGTAAAATACTAGTGCAAAGGTCCAGAGATAAGAGATATAAGAGATGAAACTACATGTGTAAGGGCAGCAAGAAAGCCAGTGAGAACCCAGCAAGACCAACTCTGACACATATTGGCTCTATGACCCTGAGTAAGTCACCTAACCTCATGTTGTCCCGGGCAGTTCTCTGAGACAAGATGCCCTAGATGGTGTTGATCTGCATAGATAGAGGGACTCTTCTCACTGGAAGTTCCCTACACCACTGAAATCACAGTTTTGTGCTGCCTTACTTTGACCCTTTCCCCCTCACCAAAAAAAAACAAAAAACAAAAAAAAAACACTAGGTCTATAATTTATTTCGTGAAAATATATGTATATTTCAAAACTATATTTTAATTCCTAAATATCATACTATCAAGTCAGGTTCACAAAACATGTTTTCCCATGTTCACAGTTCTAAGCAAGAAAGGTTATAGAAACAACTGACTTTAAAAATAGAAGACTAAACAGAAGCCCAGTGCAAGGATTTTTATAGTTGTTCTTCCTCAAAGTTAGTGAGATGTTTGCCTAATGATCTTTTGCCATTTCATGCACACTGACGCATTTAAAATCACAGTCACATGATCAAGGGAGGCAGGGGGCCACAGTGACTTCCCCAAGTCTGGGAACCTGGGGTCAACTCCCACCTCCAAAACCATGTGACCTTGACCACTTAAACTCACTTTTGTCATTTGTCAAATGAGCAGGTTGGATTCCTTGGCTTCTCAGGGTCCTTCCAGACCTATGATTCTATGGACTGTCTCCTACAAGAGTTGGAATGGAGAATGACTTCAAAATATTAGCTCTGGGAAGTACATCTTTTGTGCTTTTACTGTAAGTGATCAAAATTAACACAGTTTAAATGTTTACAATACATCTGGGTGAGAAGTTATCATAAAGTGATTACTTTGCCATCAAGGTCTTAAAATAATTATGCCTTATGGTCTCTTGGTCTTTGTTCATCTTGCTTTATGGAAATTAGGAAAGTGATTTGCATTTTTATTATATATTAATTGTATCATGGGTATTTTAACTCTGTGAATTGCCCTAGAGCTAAGCTCACACTTTACTATTGTGCCTATCAGTGCATTGGGATCATGAGTGAGATATGCAACATCCCTCCAGTCAGCCACTTCACTTTTCAGTACAGAGATCAAGAAGAGCCTTTATGTGTTACTCTACCATCAATGAAAGGGGAGTGTACCCTGAGACTCTGTCCAACAATGTCTTTTGTGCAAGAGAAATGACTGCAATCATAGAATTTCCGAGCTCAGAGGGACCTCAGAGGTCATCTGGTCCAGCCTATGCCTAAAGCACAACATCCCTTACAAAGGGTCATCTCTCCCAGCATCCACTTAAACACATTCAATATGGGAACCATCTCTCAAGGAAGCCCACTCAGTGGTCTGCAAAATGTTGGAAAATTATGAACTTCAATCCCTTGTCTTTAATTCATAAGATCATAGATGGAAAGTTCCATTGAAGCCATCTTGACCAATTCCCCCAATTCTTTTCTTCTCCAACCTCCAAATATCCCAAGCTATTCAACCAGTCACATCTGTGTTATCCTAGACAAGTCACTTAACTTTTCTAGGCTTTGGTATCCTTATCTTTAAAGTGAAGAGGTAGACTAGATGATCATGAAGATCCCTTCCAGCTCCAGAAACCAAACTCTAGCTTGGTTTCTAGTCCTGCCACCATCCTGGTCCAACAGCCTGCCTGAT